AGCCCCCCTGGCCGCGGTGCTGTGCCCCCTGCTCTGGGTGACCCTGCTTGGGCAGGGGGTGGCCCTGGGGGATCCCCAGGGGTCCCTGCCAACCCTGCCATGCTGGGGTTCTGTGTTCCTGCGTGCTGGGCAGGCAGCTCGCCGGGCTGGCTGTGCCTCAGCTCTGCGGGGCTGGAGGGGAGGGCGAGAAGGGGAGCGTCGAGGCAGCGTCAGCAGCAGAATGCAGGAGTGAGCAAGCTGCGCGGAGAGGAGGAGATGAGTAAATGGATGTGGTTGTTTATGCAGGACTCAGCTGGCAAGCACGCAGAGTGAGCCGGGGAGCGGTGTCAGAAGGGTGAGTTGCAGGTAGTGAAGAAAGCGCCTGCCAAGAATCTGCTTTCCTCCCACCTCTCCCATCAGTGGTCCCTCCTGAGTGCTGATTTTCTTGCTGAGAAGCAATAGGAGACGTCATTTTACCCAGGGAACAGACATTATTGCTGCTGTTCCGGGGAATGGGGCTGTAGAGACAGCCAGCTTGGGAACCAGAACTGGGAGGAAGCCGCTCTGCTTCTGTTGCAGGATCCAAGGATGGTTCAGGCTGGAAGGAGGAGGACTGTGGTCCAACCTCCAGCTCAGAGCAGGGTCAGCTGTGAGATCAGAGCACGTTGCTCAGGGTTTTATCCAGTCTGGTCTCGAAAGCCTCCGGGGATGGGGACTGCACACCCTTCCTGGGCATCTGAGCCGCTGCTTGACTGCCCTCATCATAAAATCTCTGCTTTTACCCAGCCAGGACCTCTCATTTCAGTTTTGCCCATTGCCTCTTGTCCTCCCACCATGTGCTGCCATGAAAAGCCTGGCTTTGTCTTCTTGATAACCTCCCCGTCAGAGGCAGAAGGCCCCAGAAGCCGTTCCTTCTGCAGCTGAACAAGCCAGTTCCCTCAGCCTCCCCAGACAGAGCGAGGGCTCCAGCCCTGACCGCCAAGCTCTTTGCAGTGGTGCCCAGCGACAGGACAAGGGGCAATGGGCACAAACTGGAGCAGAGGAAGCTCCCGGTGAAGCCCAGGGAGAACTTC